ATTTTTCTAATTGTGTGACATTTTCTTTTTGCTGCTGTAAACACCAGAATTTTCCCATTGTGGGACATAAAAGGATTTTCTATTCTATTCTATTTCAGCCAAAGACATTTGTGTTTGTTGACTGGTGGGGGTGGGGGTTATATATTAATAGACTAACAAAAAGTAAAAAGGAAGCAACTAATTAATGCTCCTCTCAAATTATTTTACAAATACTATTTAATAAGGGGTCCATACTTTGATATCACCCCTCCTAAATTTGTTATGTTGTACCATTTCTCAGTGCAAATGCAGCTTTCAACTTTGCACATCGAAGGACTGATATTTTACCCCTTCATTCTATGCCAAACGGCTCTTGCTGTATGCTGTATTGCTTGATCCTGTAACAGATTATGATTGGATTTCTTTCCGGGCTTTGACTAGGACACATGGAAATATGAAACTCTAACCACTGCCATTGCCCTCTTGGGCTTACAGCATTTTGCAAGCAGGGCATAATGACCAGTTTTGCTCTTATGTGACCAGAGAGCCCTCTTTGACTTCTCTGCAGATAGTTAAACACAAAACTTGGAAGATTGGGTTGTTTGATTTGTAAGATGTTTAAAGCTCAGGATACCATTCCATAACTAAACCTCTGAACTGTTTGCATCTTTCCTTGGTCTCAATGATGTTTATTCTTTGTTTGTTGACTAATGCTCTTAATAAAAGCCTTCAAAGAACAACCACAGTTATAATGACTTTAAATGACTGCTGGAGACAGTTGAGATTATATTTAGGGGTGTCAGAGTTAAGGAAGTTAATACATATGAATTTTAATTGCAAAACAAAAATGAGAATATTTACTTGCACTTATACATTACATTAATGACTATTTAGAATTGGAGTATTAGAAAAACTCTACATCAAATGCATTGACATTTTTGGTTTTAACATGACTAAAAGTTACAGGGGTTTAAAAATGTTTGCATAGTTCTGAAATAAGAATGTTTTTGTCATATAAATTTCAAACTCATGTACTCCGTTTTATGAGGGCGAACCGGAATATAAGGAGGAAATCAGTTGTATATTATGGCCAGATTTTAAATGTCTCTCTTTTCATCTTTTATGCTTTTTTCTGACACAGCTCTGTCTCATAAAGCACATCTTATTCCACCTCACCAGGTAAATAGCAAAGAAAATTCTCATCATTTTCTACCCCATGAAACAGAGCGTTCTTCATCATGCTGACACAAAAAAGAAAGGGGGATGTGAAGAGAAAGCAGCTTCCAATCATCCTTCATTAGCATCAGAGCAGATCTTTTATTCAGGAAGGCATTAATTGTTACACTGGGTGACTGAATGACGGGGTGATATAACCGCTTTACAGGCTCAGAGATTGATGCTGTCTCTGTCACACATCAGCACACAGTGAGTGAGTGATCCATGCGAATGCAGCCACGGTTAATGCGGTAATGATATTTCCACGCTGGGCCTTGGCCGGTGCCTGGCTCCATCTGCACCCAGTTAGCTGCTCTAATTTTAGCCGAGTTGGTCCAAGGGCGGGCGGCTGTGGGGGCCGGTGCCATGGCTCATTTAGGCACAGGCTTAATGGGGGAACATCTTTCTTTGGCACATACAGGAGCTCAACATTTGGATTAGCTTCAGACACACACACATAGGGACAAATTGTGTGTAAGAAGAGAAATGCAGATTTGGTTCTATTTATTAATTTCCTGATTTTTTAATTCTTTATTGTTTTCCATAAATCTTGTTTTTTACCCGATGTTACTTTATTTACAATGTGGGAAATTTTAATGAAAAAAATGTGTTCCTTTACTTCACAATTTCATGACAAGGATAAAAAAACAAAAATAATACAGAAAGTAGTATTACCTCTAACCATGTAATCACACGGTAGCCTACTAACATAGCAAGTCAGACTATGTTACTTGGTTTATTTGGTGATTACCCCAAAATTAAGATACATCATTTCAGAGTAATTACCTGCATGTAATTATTACAATTTTATGTTACTATGTAGCAATTGAGACTTTTGGTGAGTATTTACCTTTAGGTTATCACATAAACGTTTCTATTATTGGCAACCACCTACCAATGGCTTACAAAGTAAATTATAACTTATAATCAGATAACTAAAGCATTATAAAACTGAGTTCAAGTTACATATAAATAAAAGTTTAGTTAAGGAGATCAGCTTGCTGTCTTCTAGGTTTGGTTTTCTGTTATATGCAAAGTTATAAACTGCATTTTACTTAATAATAAGACATTAATTTATTGCTATTGATGATATGAATATGAGTTACTTGGTAATAAATGTTTGAAATCTAAGAAGTCTGTCTTTACCTTGTCTACCTAAAATTTTGAAGCATTTTTTCTTGTTCCCTAGCAACATAGAGTAACTTTCTACGTTATTACCATGTTATTGATGTTCTGGAAAAGAAAGAGTCACCATTTTTATTTTATTTTTTTTTACCTTATATCAAAGTATCATCATCCAAATCAAATACATTTAAAAAAAATAAGAACTTATTTGGGAAGAATGAACAAATTTAGGTCATTTTATTCATGAATGTATTACCTATAAATTTTTCTAATGTACTTTTATAAGGTCTTAACATAGGAGGAGAGTAAATTAATATATAACTCTCACTTCATTGTGTGTTGATAATTTTTACTGCTACTTCCTGTCTTCACACATAGTTTTTTACATTTTTTTTTTTTTTTTTTTACAGAAAGCAGAATAGTAAATTTTTGATGAGTTTGGATACATGATGGACAAAAAAGAGCTGCTATTTAAGACAATAACAAGACCCATCAATGCATTCAAATATCTTGCAGTTAAAAAAACAAAACTGGAACAGCAACAAAAAACACCTTTTCCCCTACCTCCCTATAGTTGAGTCAATTTCATCTATCCTGAAAGTAAAATCCTTCTAGTTTACAAGGATTTGATTCAATCTCCCCAATAAAATCCATCTTTCATGTCCTGCATGAGGGACTTTTTTTATTCTGGACTAAAATGCACTGGGCTGCTCTGTACTAAAAGCTAATATCACATTCTTATGATGTCGTGTGGCAGCCCAGCAGCTGAAATGATGTTGACGCATCACAAGCTGCACTAATGGTATAAAATGGTGCTCATTTTCATTCTCCTAAGTGGCTGAAGTGGGCAGATTGAGGTCAGAAGAAACAGGAAAGTGATGTGTATTGAATGACACTGACAGAGGAGATCCTATGACTCACAATAATGTTTATCAATGTCAGTAAAAGGGAGGAGCTGGGGAGATTATGGGATTAAATATATCCACTCTCTGTTCTAGATTTTAAAAATGACCTGAATTATTATACACTAATTGTTAAAATGTGATTTTATGCAGAATAGAGAAATAGAATATAACAAAGAAATGTTTATCACATCTACTTTGGAGCATTTACGTCCTTAATCAGGATCTCCCCAGATGTAATGTCACACCAACTCCATTAGACGCAACTCCTGAAGAAATGAATCCATTTCTATGATATTTCCTTCAGAATATTTATTTTTAAGATGAGCTGTCCAACCCTTTCTAGTGAACCAAAGAAGTCAGGTTTCTATGATTCAAACTGGTTGAAGCAGTCATTTAAATTTAGATTTTTTTCCCCCCAGGATTGTTAAAAAAGATTTTCTTTTTTGTCTAAAGAAAAATCACAAGTTCTTGATTGTTTTTAAAGGTTTGATAACATTTAATATCCAAAGCTCCATTTAAACATGTTGGGGAGTCCCTTCTGCCTGTAAATACAGCAACCACACCGCATCCTGTGAAATTGGATTTCATTTCCATTTGGGAAACTGGAAAACATCGAAATCAAAATAGGTCCCTTTTTCTAAGTAATAAGTATTTTTTTCTTTAATTGTGAAGGTAAATGAAACACTTTGCCACTGGAACAAGACATTTTATATTTAAAATAAATAAAAAACATCTGCATTGTCTTTTTTCAAGTGCATTTTATCTAATTATTTTATAGT